TCTGGGCTATTCTATTGTCTATATTTCCTCCTTTTATCTTTTATTTGGCTGTCTCGCTCATCCAGCTGCGATGGAACTATGATCGTATCTACCATACGATCGTAAACTCGGCGAATGACAACTATAAAATAATAAAAAAGCCGACTAGCTCCTCAGATAATTGCCTCTAGTTTGAGGTTCATTTGTACGATCATTCACAGTAGATATAGTATAGTACTGAGTTCGATAGCATAAGAGTGATCGAAAAATCGATGAAAATTTTACTCGTTGATTCTGCGAGTTTGAAACTGAATGGCGCGGCAAATGACAGGTGACATTAACAACAGAAAATTTATATGATTTATGTCAACATTTTCATGAATAATTTAAGGAAATAGTGTAATTATTAAATTGCCTTCTACAAATTACCGTCCAGCTACCGGTGAATCTTTAGAAATCACTGAAAGTTTTCACTTTCACACGCAATGCTCGTTTACAGCACGAGCAGCGTGTTTGAGGTTTCCGCTGAAATTATAAAAACAAATTACAATTCATTCAAGTTAATTCACTCGAAGCTGTTTGCAGATCGGGCGTAGCGTACAAGGAAACACAGGATCCAACAATTACACTTTCTGACGCGTTGAAATTTTGCGAGAAATAATTCGGGCTGTTTGTTAGTTTATCCTGACGACTATTCACACTTTCTTAACACGTAATTCATTTCGTGGAACCAATAACTTGTAATTTTCAAATCTTCTTTACAGTAGACACTCATTATATTGCCACAGTAATAGAAGCAGATAATTCTTGGAACTGTCATATACTAAGTATTTATGGTACAATGAGTGGCGATATAACTCTTGGTCATAGGTACATCATAGGATACATAGAACATCGCGTGGTGATATAACACGTAATTACACAACGCGTGAAAAATATAACACACGGTAATACATGGCGTAGAAAATTAACACGTGGTAATACATCGGACGAAAACACACATAGCAATAGAACGCGTGGCATTATACTAAACTGAAAAAGCAGATTTTTATAGTTTCAATAAATTTCTATACACTACAATGAAGAAGCGTCATTAATATACGTTCAAATTTATGTAACTATTATGTTTATTTTTAAGGTAATGAACTTTCAGAAGCATTTGAATTATTCGGATCGTGTGTTCCCCTGTTAGTCCGACATGCTCGACACGTGCGTTAAGGGATCATACGCTAAGCAAACCACCGTAATTACGATGGAACACATACACGCAGCCTGTTCGAATACTCGTGGGTCGGTGGGGGTGATCCACGCGACACGTTCAGGAGGGAAAACAGAGGGGAGATCATTAATTGTAATTAATAATTAAGCTGATGATGTAAGAAGAATGATTGAATCCAGCGCGCACACACCAATGCCGTATTACGAGCCCACATATCAGAATTAAAACAGGAGCATGAGACAAAATGACTGATCAAAAATACAACTGCAACAATTATCGCGTTACTTGGTACAGTCTCAAGTATGCTAGCCTTTTCTGGGGTAAAATGTGATATACAGCAAAGAGGCCTCGATAGAAGTTATTTCGTATTATGCTCAAATCAGATCTGTACTAGACACTTAAATAATATAAGAATAATTAAATGATACGATAACAAATTCTAATTTTGAAGATATTAATATTAAAATGAATATATCTTTTAATTACTAAATATCGTTAGATATTTAGATATTTAGATATCGTTAGATATACCATTTTTAAAATTCATTCAGAACGCGTATGATGAGGCTTCCTTTTCATATATCGCCATTTTCCTTAAAGAAGCCTACCATGCTCGGTACTGTATTGTAAAAGTTATTATTACGCAATCAGCAGATTTATTAACAGACCACAATTAATGGCATTACTGAGACATTATTAATGATTACACACAAGGAGAGAAGATCGATCGGATCGATCGCACAGCGCAACGATTATTCGTGCCGTTAGTCAGCGGCAGGGTCTTGATTAAATGTGTTATACATTGATATCGAGAGCTCGAGCTTGAAACAGTTAGATATAATAAATTATGCGGAACACGTTCCGAGCCGATGTAACGTTGCTTGACTTTTCACATTCGCCTCCTACACATGTTTTACTTTCTTGTTTCAAATTGGGAACACATTATTGGTGATTCACTTGATTGGTTGGATAATTTTACATTTCTGAGGATATGGCACCATCCGCTTGTATTATGGCACCATCTCCATTTTGTTGTGGAATTTGAATTACGAATATTTACTTTCATACTGTAACGTATATTTTAAAAAGTATATGTTGAGTATGATTTACATGAAATCTACAGAAAATACAATTTTAATGTGCAAAGGAATGTTGTCAATATTTGCTTATCGATGTTGGTAAAATCTTGTGGGTTTTTAGACTGGTATTGTATGATTTAACCTCAAAGTTGAATGACTATATCAACTATTCCCTATATTTCTAGAGCTATAAATATCACAGTTTTCATATTTTTCAACATAATTTCCATGTAATGCTTGTCTTAACTGTACTAGTCTTATACTAGTAGCAGAGAATCGTCTTGATATTTGGATCAGTTTTGAACATTATTTTTTACTCCTTCATTATCGTAAAACTAGGTATAGGACAAATTTTTTATGACAATACGATAATTTTTAGAAAATTTTTGTACTATAACTTGTCGGTTCTCTAAACTAACTTGGAATATTTATATCTTGATTATTTGTTCTAAAAATTGAACATCGGTAATGTATTCGGTCATTTTTGAATTAAGATGTAACACGACCAGTAACCAAAATTTATATTACAGAATACCGTTCTTTTAAACTGTTAAAATAATGATTCTTGTTATGTATTTACTGAAACCATTTACACGATTGATTTAGTTTAATGAAATGTAACTAACAATTCTGTATCCGTCCTTTATTTTCATATTATGTGAAGTCCTACAGAACTTTTGTCTCGTTACTTATTGTATGACCCTAGTAAAAGCTAGAGCAAAAAATGTATTGAATAAAAGTTTAATGATAAGTTTAATGCCTTAATAAAATTTTGGAAAAAAAAATCTATTGAAAAAACAATTTCGAAAATATTATTTATCAAATTTTATTAATGGGAGTTTGTAACGCTTATCGTACAATTATGTATAAATCCAAAATATTTTTCTTTGCATTTTGTACTCTACGAATTATATCCTAAAAGTTTACAACATCCATTTGATTTTGAGATTAGTTATCGTACTTTTGAGGACTTAAAGAGGTTAAGTAAAAATTAAATGTACTTTATTTCTGTTATTTGTCGCTGTATGAATGTACAAAATTCGAATTCATAAGTTTTCAGTGCTTCTCTGTCTTAAAACTTATATTACTGTACCTATTATTGTATATATACATTAAAATCACAATAGAATAGTTATTCATGAATGTTGTATTTTCGTTGTCAAGCAAATTCCTCAAATATATTGTAGAAGATTATTTTGTAAATTATACCCTATGCATCCTAAATTATCCCAGTTTAAAAATTCTAAAATTCCAATACCTTTTGCTCAACTATTAAAATTTCGACGGGTTCTCGAGATTCAACAAGAAATTGTACACAAAAATTCAAATTTTAAATTGCAGAATTCGTTAAGATACTTTTCTTGAAATCTTTGTAAATATTTATCGACATCGAATACTGTATGTATTGCATTATGCGCTGATACAATTGCTGGTAATCTTCCTCTTTGAAACTTATTAACATTTTAAAAAGCAGTAACATCGTAATATTTTGATTATATTTTGGCTAATATTTTTACGTCATGAATATTACTACCTAAAATACCAAAACTATTTCAAATATTTCTATTAACAAGTTTATATAGATATTATTTCGATTTTATGACTAATTTCAATGCACAAACGTATATGAAAGACCCCGTAAAAATTTCAAATGCTTAACAAGGATAGAGCTGTAGTACGCGTATTATATTTAAGTGAAAACGGTGACCTCGAGACGAGAGAAAATGTGAGATTACGAGTACGATTGCCATGAGGATATGTTGCGTTTCAGAAAAAAAACGGTCCGGTCCTAGAGCGATCTCAGATTATGAAAATTATTTGTGCCGGACCACTAGTTTTGCACTGCGGATCTCGTGCGGTTGTTTCTGAGAAGGCGAGATTGCAAGAAATTTATCAGCGTCCGTATGCTGAGAATGTAAAGCTGCATTCTGATTGGATCAACTTTATTCCTTTCTGTCTCTCATGTATTAAAAAAATTCGTCGAATGAACGAATATCCTTTTTTCATTTTACGTATATTTACTTTGGGAAAAATAAAAATTTCGTAATTTAAATTTAAATTTTATCAAACTAATAAAAGTACTTCATTTTATTAATTGAGGAACACTAATATCTATATATTTTTTCTATTACAAATAATCGGAAAAGAAAAGAAAAACTAATAATCAAGTAATAATCAAACAACCGGACAACATCACTGTTACAAGAAAAATTTGAAAAGTTCGGACTGTTTTGAATATAATACTAGTAATCATTATCAATTACGGAATAATTAATGTGTGTGGCGTACATTATGAACCTAAATCATATTTGCACCATTACAAATTACAGTTTGCACAATTAAAGATCGGTAACTCCAAAATATGCATAATATTTCAACTTCCCTTATTTATTTGAGTATTGTAATAATAAATAATTAACTCCGTTGTAACTGCCGAAAAGAACATAGCTTAAGAGGTTAACCAGTTAAATATGTGTATTCTCGTCCTTGCTCGATTTTAATTACAAATTCCATGAGGGAATTTTACAACTATATTTTGCAGTTAACTGGTTAAGTCCGATTAATTCACTAAATGACACTTTCCATAAAAATGTGCAAAACAACAGTTATTTTGTATTTCTGCGAAAGTCAAGCAATGTTAAACAACTCGTAGCATGTCGCTCTACCAATTGGTGTCTATTCTTTTTTTTTTTTTTTGATATGGTGTGATTGCCTGGACTCACCGATCCTCTTGATGTGGACGTCTCGATTGAAGGAGACGCATCTCTCGGCGGGCTTCCACCCGGAAACGGAAGCCCCGGTCGAATTGGGGTGTAGTAAATCGTCGGTAGGAGGGTTGCAGGCTTCTCCCTCTCTTAAAAAATCCGAGCGCTGAACTTCGAGCATGTTTCGCTTCCGATCATAACACACTTCGTAGCCGGAACCACCGCTTTTTCCCCTTTTTCGTTGCTTTTTCTCTTTTACCTTGCTACCCCCGCCCGCTAATTGTACCCCTGCCCTGCTAATCTCCCCTCTCCTTCCCTGTTTTCGATCACACCGCTAGACCCGATCACCGACCTGTAAGCCAAGCAAAGCTGTGCTCTTAATATCTTTGGATCATCTCTCGTCGTTCGAGATTTATGATCTGTCTTGTAAGAAAGACACTATCTTTTCTTATGTCAGAATTGTGAATAGTTTTCTTTTTATTTTTCAGCGAAAAGCTTGTTGTAAGCGGCTATACGCTATGTACACGCGAGAGAATGTATAGCTCTATATTTGCGGTCGTCATTGCGGTTAGAGAAATCGATTCTATCGGCGATTTAGAGTCGAACTAGGATAGTGCCACTTGCGGTCGTAAGTAAAAGTACCGGTCGCATTGTTAGGGCTTCCTTTCACATTTTGCTGCTCGGGGAGACAGCAATTCCGCAGAAAGAATGTTTCAAGAACTATTCTGGTTCCAGCAAGCCGGTCACCGGTCACCGATACCGAACTTCTTGCTCGTTTATCGCTGTTTCGAGGAAGTAATTTTCTCTTTACTGCTAGGCGTTATAGAGAGACATGACAAATATCGATTCTTTGAAATTTTCGTCGAGAATTCGTGGAATTTTTTAAACTCTAATGGAAGTGGAATGAAACTACAAGCGTTTGGTGTAGCTCGATCTATCATGAGTGGGAAATGTCATTCAAACCTGATCTGACCACTGATTTAACCGCAAATCTAACCTAACTCCTTAGCTATTTTCATTCCATCACGTGGATGATAGAATTGATCATATGCCGGGTGGCAAAATGAAAAATATTTTCGTAAAAGGGATGCTCGATATTTGGCACAATTTGTCAAATTATGAGAGTAATTTTGCAAAATCATAGTTCGCACTTCTTTAAAGCATATAAATTGTAATGTTTCTTTTTTCAAGTAATTAATAAAGTAAGACACATGAGCTAATGAGAATAAATTGTTGTTTCAAAAATTGTGCATTCTCTATATAAATAATTAATTATAATATTATTGAATATAAAAACTACACCTATTCGTTGAATTAAATAATCTTTTCTTTTCGATAGTCAAATATTATGAATACATACTTATAAAAGAATATAAGATAATTGTCTTGACAGAAATAGTTATGAAAAAAATAATTTTCACTAGCTAAATATTTTTGTAATTCAATATAGTTTGATGTTATTGAAATCTTAGAAAAATAATTGAGTCGAATATTATTAATAACCTTGATTTATTATTTCAAAACAAAAAGAATGCTTAGAATTTAAATTTCATTTTATCACAGCAAAGTTCCAATGTTCTACATCAAGATTTTCTACTATTTTTTACATTTTATAGCAACAAAATTTTATTGTACTTTATTATATTAATATTTAAACTACTTTGCTTGAAAATTACTCGAATTCTACAAGATAAGACTAAAGAAATAACCGGAGATATAGGAAAAGGTTAATTTGTTAAATTGCAATAAATTATTCTGTAAAAAGAATGTGGATTTGATAACAAATCTAAAATAAATATTCATAAAACTATTTCTTTTACATGATACAGTTTAAAAGATAGCTATTCTTAAAGCTAATTATCATCCGAAAATTTAAAAGAATGTTTAGAAGCTTATGCTGTATTGATTTTATAGATGATTATTGCAACTTTGTACATAAAACAAATATTCAATTTCAAATATTTCAAAATACTATTTTGCCACATATCTTGAGAGAAGCCCTCAATTATAAACAGCACTATCCTGTTCGAATCTGGTAGTTATGTATCTAATCGCCAATCAACTCGTTTTTCTTTTAATCGCAACAGGTAAGACTTGTTGATGAGGTTGTCTTCGAGTGCACCGACGATGATCATGATCAACACAACGGGTGATAATGGTCTCCATTGCCATCATGCAACTTGATGAGATACTCGAGATACGTGCAAATGGACTATTGACAGTTGCAAGGATGACGATGACTGTGCGGTATAGTAACAATGACTTCGTGATCGTGCGATAAGCTACTAGGTATTTTCTTATTTTATCCCATCTTTCGAAGCATCGTGCAAAGCTGAACTTCTTAAATTTTCCCAGCGTGACATTGTTATACATGGAGCTGGGTAAAATTTAAAGAAAGAAAAAAAATATTTGAAAGAACATTTCAAATAATATATGTACGTATTTTAGTAGCTTGAAGCTACTTTTAAATGAAATATTTGAATCTTTTATTTGAAATGTCTTTTGATAATAAGATTATGTGAAGAAACGATATATTATAATGGAAAATACCATACGAGATGGTAAGAGACGTAAGAAACAATTGTTTCATGCATTTTTTAAAGCTTAAAACTCGTAACTTAACATTATTTAAATATTAGGAAATTGCTAGGTTTCTATAATTATTGTTATAATGAATAATTTAAGATTTTAGAAAAGTTATTACCTTCCATAATAATATTTTAACATTACAAATACCTAGGAATTAAATATAATAACGAAGTATAAACATAAGTAGAATGTTCTACAAATAAAATACTATTTAAAACATTTATTACCAGGAATAAAATATTTTATTTTCATAATTACCCGTTTGATTAAAAATAAATTAAACTGTTTATTATTTTAAATAACATTATACAAAAAAATAATTTTATTAACCTTCATTTCGAAAAAGTGTGTTTTAAATAGACAGTGTAGAATTTAATTTCATAATAAAATAAATTAACCCCTCGTTTGTTACATTGAGTCGCACTCAGAACACTTGCATAGGGTTAATCATAGACTTAATAGAAATTTGTATAACTAAGGATCATTTAAGGTTAAATGTGAATAAACTTACAACTTTCTATATTTGCTTCAATATTGCACAAAGAACTATTCATAGTACCATCCATAGGTTACTGAACACGTATACGGCTAATAAACAATGCAAAATAGAGTACGAACATGAGCTCCAATAGCAATTTCAAAATAATAAAGCGTATAATATTATCGTGAGCTCATTAATTTGATATCTGAATAATACATAAGTGGTTTGAGGTTCTATTGTATTCATCGACTACTTGTTTTCTGCGTTGTTTAGCCATTGGAATGTCTTCCTTTAATCACAATTCACAAATGCAGTTACAACAGGTATAGAGAAGAAACACGTGAAGATACATTAAAATAAATTATAACAAAATGAACACCAATCATTCAACGTAACACATTTGACCGAAATATATACTTGAAAATTTTGTATATTTAAAAGTATTAATTTTTATATACGTATCAGCGAAGATTATAGTGGTCTAAAAGTTCATTTTTTTACTATATTCATTTACGTAGGTAAATACAGTTTACGTATCTTTGTAAGGTGAAGTGGAGTAAGTTCGTAAACGGGGCAAGTGTGTATACAGGCTATTTTTATTACAATATGAGCAAAATTTCTCCATTTAGTATGTTTCTTTCCTTGTTTTGTTTCGCTATATCCCCTTTTACATTTGAGCTAAGAGTATTTGTTTGCAGTATAGAGTACTTGCATAATGCAGTAAAAAGCATTTTATAGCTGATTTGTTAATAATTCTGCTCTTGCCCCATTGCACATGAAATAAAGTTTCAAAATATCTTTAACTTCAAGTTACGCTCTTACTCCATTTGCGGGGAAAGTGCAGAGTAGTTAACATTTTAAACAATTTCCTATCAAAATCAAAATGTACAAGGAAAATCAAGGTCCTAGTTAATATAAATTAAATAGTAGTAATTGTGCAAAGAGTTCGATATCGACAGCGTTAAGTATTTACATAGCAGACTGAAAATACTTACGTTTAAATACCAACTTTACAAAAACCAGTCCACACTTACCCCACTTCACCTTATATTGAAAAAGAAGTGACGCAAATCGTAATACAATTTATGTATCGTTATACATTGCAAAAGGAAGCGATGTAAATTGTAAACTTGTATATACAGTAATATCAGGGGTTGAAAGTGTAATGATCTTAGCTCGATTTTTTTATATTAATCTGCATAGTTAAATACAATTTATATATCTTTGTACATTGGAAAAGGACGTTATTTGAAATATTAGATGATATCGAAAATGGTATTTGAAATATTTATAATAATATTAATAATAATGACGTTTGAAATATTAACCGATGTTGAAAATACCAATTTATTTTAAATATTAAATATATTTACACATATCTATTCGTGAAGAGAAGTAAGATAAGTTAAATCTACTGTTACTTCAACAGACAAGTGGCAGAACAAATTGCACATTTGCGATAATGACGCAACTCAAACACGCAATTTTGTGAAAACATTCCTCCAGCAATTATAAATTTTACTCATTTATCTTCATTACGTGGCCGATAGAGGGCAGTTAAACCACTCACAGAGAAATACGTACTACACTGTATTTAGCTTTTAACTTCAACTAAAAATTAAATTATAATGTGACAGTTTAGTTACACACTGCATAAAATTTCGCGCATGATGCATTTTACTTTTATGTAAAAAGGAAGCCAGATTTTATCTAATATGTTAAAAAAAATGATTAATTGTAATACCGTGAACGATACACCGTACGCAAAATGACATGACTCACACTCAAAATCGTTTTAAATACTTTTTCAAATTTGATCATTATTTGAATCTATTATAAATATGTGATTATTAATAAATATATTTAAATATGTAATTATGATTTATATTATTTGATTCAGAAGAGTTCATATGATTGTTCCAGATGAAGAAGAATTGAACAACTGTGGTTTTGAAAACACATACTATTACTTCTGAAGTACAAATACCAAAAAGTGGTATGCAATAAATTTGTATTCAATATACGAAATATTATAAGAAAATTAACAACTTTTCGAAAACGCCTTTACAATTATTCATTTTGTCATCGATTTGAAAAAATGTGGCTCCCCTTTTATATAAAAGCAAAATATAACATACTATTATATTATAAAGTATATAATAAACTTTTCACACTTCTTATGATTCAACTTTCAACCAAAATTAAGAAGCTGGATGCAGAGTACGATTTATATTGTGAGCGACTGTCGCTTTTCTTGATCTATATGTCTTCCTCTATATTTC